GCGCGCCCCTGTCCCTGGGTCCGGCCCTGTCCTCGCCCCTGCCCCTGTCCCCGCCCCTGCCCCTGTCCCTGCTGCAGCGCCTGGAATTCTTGACGCCATGTGTGTATGGATTAATTTAGCAGCTATTTACAGCGTCAGGCCACCTCCACCCACGAAGCTCATTCCTAGAGGCTTCTTAGGGGCCACAGGGAGACCCGGATGGGGAAATCTGGGTTCCAGTGCTGCGCTGTAGGCGGGAGGAGAAACCCCTGGCTGCAGGCTGTGTGGATTTGTGCTGAGGATAAAAGACACAGAGACTTCTACCCCAAGTGCAGTTCTATACAAGTTGAGTGGCCTAGATGCTCCCAAGCTGCGGGTTTCAGGACACTATGAACATCTTTGTTCATAGTGAACATCTTGTTTTGTTTTGAGACAGGGTCTCACTATGTAGTTCAGGCTGGCCTTAAACTCACGATGTAGCCCAGGCTGGCCTGGAACTCACAGCAGACTTCTTGCCTCAGCCTCCCTGGTGACGGTATCATAGGCATGTGCTGCCAGGCCTGTCTCAGGATGATATGAACTCTTGTACAAAGTTCTATAAATTCTTGTAGAAAAAAGTTGTGTGAACTCTTCTAGAAAGTTGTACAAACTTCGAGAAAGTTCCGTCAGTATATTTTGAGTAAATATACTGCTTTGAGGATATGTCTAAGCTCCTCAAAACCTTTTAGAGTCAAGAAAATATGAGCTCTAGAAATGACATCGCTGTAAAGCATAAATATGCCAAAGCAGGCAGTGTCCCTGCAGATACAGAGTCTAGGAAGAGGTAGTGGGTGAATGAATGAACAGATATTCACTGCTCACTGTGTTCATTCAGCAGTATTTGCGGGGTGTGCCCGTGCCTAGGGCTCTGATAGACTCTGATAGAATTCTAACACAAAAATGGTAATGACAGATCGACACAGATAAGAACAACAAAAAGACTAAGAGCTGCTTCTGTGCTTAAGACATGGATACTTAGTTGTCTAGCGTGTTAATGCCCATGGGCCTAGGCCAGAGCATGTCCCACTTCCGGCTAAGCAGAAGCAGGACTGGCCACTCCTTCCCACCAAGGCCACACACTGTGCCAGAGTTGCTCTTAGCCAGGGTTGTGGGCTCTTTGGGAGGCTGAGGCAGGAGGACGGGGTTTCACTATGTAGTCCAAGCTGGCCTTAAACTCACTGTAGCCCAGGCTGGCCTCCAACTTGTCATCCTCCTGCCTCAGCCTCTCATCTGCCAGGATTACAGGTCCCACCGTGCCCGGCACAATGCATTTTAAAATTCAGAACTGTTCAGAGTTTAGAGAGATAATTCGGGGCATATTTACGTGTGAATGGCATTTTCACTGTGGTATGGGGCAGCATCCCATAACCCAAATGCAGTATTATTTTTGCCAGAAAATGTGAATGTTCCATCAGGAATACCAGTAAGACCATAATTAGCCTTATGTCTTACTTACTTCCATTGCTGGGACAAAATACTTTGACACCCACAATTTAAAAGAGTTTATTCTGACTCATAGTTTGTAGAAGTTTTAGGTCATCATTGGCTGACATTAAGGCAGGGTGGCGTGGCAGAGGGCATGGCAGAGGGCATGGCAGAGGGCGTGGCAGAGGGCGTGGTGGAGGAGGGCTGCTCGGGCATGGGGGACAGGAAGCAGAGAGAGAAGGAGGAGCCAGGCAGGGAGAAACACCCTTCCAGGCCACGCCCCAAGGGCCACCTCCTCCCACCAGGCCCCGCCTCTTAACAGCAAGCCCACTGTGAGCCCCATTCTCTATCACCTTCCAAAGCCCCGCCTAGGAGCGTGGGAAGTTCTGGGGGGTGGGGCATCCGGATAAAAACTGGATGCTTTAGATCAGTGCCGGTCAGGCTTGCTGCTGGATGAGTTTTGTCACCAGACTGACCAGAACATCAAAAAGACAAAGACAAAAGCTTGGTTTTGAATTTCCTGATTGCAGAATCGCAGAATGGTCATCACTAAGGTCTGTCAAACACATTCCATGGTGGGTGCGGTCTTTGTCACTTTATGCTGACAGCTTTCGGAAACAGATGTTAATATTGTCCTCATTTTGGAAGTGAGGACACAGAGGCCTAGGGAGTGAAGTCACGCAGCTAGTATGTGTCGAATGAGTACTCACGCCTAGGCAGCCGTGGCTCTAAAGAGTGACGACGGAGAAGTCATCAGGAAGACAAGGTACCTAGGTGGGTAGAGACTTCTAGAACTCTAAAGCCACAGAGACGCTGAGCTGTGAAGGTAGCGTGCCTGATGCCCAGCTCCCTGCAGTACTCAGCTGCCTGCTGGGTGCCTGCTATGGGCGTGGAGCGCTGGGTTGGGGGCCCCTGGCGAGAAAATGGGCATCTCTGCAGCCTCTGCGGTTGGGAGCCTATAGCTGCTCAGAGCAGGCCCTTGCTGGCCGCGCTGGATGCTTCCGGCCGGTGCATTTTGGCAGGAGGGCATTTTTTTCTTCTAACTTATTCACAAGGGGCCGGTCCCTGTTTACTATGAAGTTCCTGTGAGTCTTTATCATGCTCTTGTAACTTGACAGTTTCAGATGAAATGGTCCAAATATTAGCCTGGGAGGCCTGAGCCGCCGACAGATGCCGACAGATGTCCTGTGCTTCCTGGCTGATGCAAATCACATTTGCTTACATTTATCCGTCATTAGGCGCTTACTTAGTGTATTTGACCCCAAAGAGAAACATCAGCACGTTCCCTGGATGGCGATCTGCTCTGCTCTGTTTCAGGTTTGAGGTCTGAGGTGAAGGTTGTTGGTGTTTAGATGTTTTAAAAAAACCTGTTAGATTGCTATGCCAGGCAGTGGAAAACTTAAGTGGAGCCAGATAGCAAATAAAACTCTTGGGCCTTCCAACAAACACTTATTAAGTGTCTATTATGCTGTGAGGCTTGGGGACACACAAAGGTAAGTGAAAATCAGGCTGTTACTGGAGCAGTTGTTTGCACACTTTTAAAGATCTTTTTATTAGAGCAGGTTTGCAGTACATAATGATCACATTCATCATGGGGAGTTGGTATGTGTACATAATTTTTTGTTAAGCTCATGCAAATAAGCCTGAGATGGAAGCTTGGCTTGTGACACAGACAGAAGCTGAACTGTTCTGGCGGAAGCCTCAGAGGCATTGGTATAGACAGCTGGAGTCTACACCTGAGTGGAACAGTGTTTTTCAGCCTTGCCTGACTGTTAGAATCTTCCGTCCATTTTTTCACAATTCCTGATGTCCACATTATATTCCTGCTGCACTCCACCTTCACAGCTCAGCATCTCCGTGGCTTTAAAGTTCTAGAAGTCTCCTACCCACCTACGTCCCCTGGTGCTTCCTGATGACTTCTCCGTCATCACTCTTTAGAGCCACGGCTGCCTAGGCGTGAGTCCTCATTCAACACATACTAGCTGCGTGACTTCACTCCCTGGGCCCCTCTGTGTCCTCATTTCCAAAGTGAGGACGATATTAACATCTGTTTCTTAGAGCCGTCAGCTGTCTGGAGTCTGCTTGCTCAGAACCCAGGGCTCATCCTCAGACATCGATAGGATTCCAGTCCAGTTCATTTGAGTCTGGAGGTGTCTCTTTGGGACCTCAAGTTTCATAGAAAAGAATTTGGGAAGCAAATATCGTATGCTAGAGGCTTCCAAGTTTGGTGAGCACATTTGAGAGCCTCTTGCAGTAGGGTTGGATGGCTTCTTTGAAAAGAAAGCTGCCAAGTTCAGAGACCCTGATTTGTATGTCGGTGGTGTGTTCCAGGCAGCTTCATCGAAAATGACCTGATGCAGCTCAGAGTTGAGAAGCATTGCTCAAGACTCGGTAATGTCTCCAGCACACAGCAGAACGGTGAAAGAGCGACGCTAACAGCTATCATTTTAGCTTGTCTATGGTGGTAGAGGAGAGCTAAACCCAGAGGATGCCGTCCATGCAGCATGGTGGCAGAGGAGTGACCAGAGTGAAGGCACATGGCATGGAGGCTCAGGGAGGACCACACAGAAAAGCTAGGATTTGGACTCCGCCTTGGTGAATACATAGAATTTGCCTTGCTGGAATAAACCTGAACCTCTGGAGTCTACTTGCTCCCATAAGCAGGCCTTGGTCTCATTCAAATGCAGACATACGAACTAGGACTCTGAACTTCAGAAGTAATGCCATTCTTTATCGGAGAGCTCCCAAGGAAAACTACACTTCTCTGAGCCTCTGTGGCTTCATCTTTCAAATGAGAGTAATAATGATACCTATCCTGTGGGGTTATTGTGGAAATGCATGCTATAATAATGCATTTGCATCGCTGGGTCAGTAGTAGAGGCTCAGTAAAAAATACAGCTTTAACTCCCATGATGGGTCTAGAAGCTGGTGTTAGTGAGAGAGGGTTCAGCAGGACCTTGGTGCAGCGGGTGGGGTCAGGTGAGGATGGGGGCCTCACAGGAAGACGGAGCCACTAGGGAGGTATAGTCCAAGGGGGCAGAGCTCTGGGTAGCACAGCGTGGGTGCAGCCTAGCCAAGGGTCTGGGCTCCCTGCCCTGCTCCTTCTTGGTGTGGCTTGCTCAGAAAAGCCCTCCTGTGCTGTTTAGCCAGGCAGGGGCAATCTGTAGGGGCTCTGGCCTGGAGGTGGGGGTGGGGGTCTACCCTATGGGTCTTGGTGAGTGGATTTCATGATGGCGCTCAGTCACGTTCTTTCTCACTGCTGACCTGTTGGCTAATTTAATTCAGTTTCCACCAAAATGGGG